CTCTTCTGTCTTGAGAGCAGAGTTCTCTTTAAGACCTCTTTTACAACATCCTTTTATTGTCTTTGCTACTACGCTGTTTCCTTCAGCACTGCTGTCGTACTTTCTACCGCTTCCGCTCTGCTCCGCTACAAGTGCATAGTTTACTATAGCATCTTTATATTGGTGCTATTATTATAGGCTAGTTAAGGTATTGCAGCAAACAAATACATATAGATTTTGCCTCGTATTATAGAAGAATAGTTGCTTAGCAACTTCTTTTCTTTCCGCATCCGTAAAAGTATTTACGCTCTTAACTAGAATATTTAAAACTATTACTAGTTTAATTTCAAAGTGTAGTAAACTATACTATTTGATACTAGCTCTATTATTACCCTCCTTGCTATAAGAGTATTTAATACTCCCGCTAATAATATGCTTTATGAGCGAGCCTTTTTTGCTATAAAATTTCTGGAAAATGCTAAGCGCAACCACCCCACCGCCAATAAGATAGATATAATTACGTTTATTTATATAAATAATAAGAAGCTTAGAAGTCTCAACAAATCCTTTGCTTGCTTAATTATGGTAAAAAGAGATGACCTGCTACTTCAAATTGAGAAGAAGTTGTACGAATATATGTAATAAGAGAATCAAAACAATAAGAAGAAGAAGGGCACCTAATAAGAATATACATATATAAAGAAATAGTTAGAAAATATAGTATATATACTTTTCTCAGAAATGCCAGAAGTATAGTAAGATTGAGTGCTCTTATGAATCTATGAATAAATTAATTTTATACAGATATAGGAGTTTGGAGGCTAGTTTATGTACCCAAAAATCCTATATTTCAATCACGTACCCTAAAATTAATGAAAGAAACGCCATTTTTGCACGAAATTTCAGGAAATTTCGGAAATTACCAGTTGCAGTTATTACTGATTGATCCCTAGTTGGTTCCTGGCTTCGGCCGCGTCTGGCCAGTGGAAGCTATGGAAACGCCAGGGAAATGGACGCCGGGAGGCCCAGCTCGGAGCAGCGAAACCCTTGCCATGAACCGATAGCTAAAAAAACCCTCTGAAGCGGCTCCGCAACATCATGACGAACCCGTCTGTGCTGATGATAGACATGGCGTGTTCGACGCAAACCCATGGGGACAACAACTTGCTACCTATATCACAAGCCATCATGGAATATCACGCGGTGCGCCAAGATAGAATGGAGAGTTGAATAATCCAAGGTGTCCTTCAGGATAACCTCGGTCACGGTGTTTCTGGAATCCGTGCCGTCCTCGCTTCAAGGAATGATATTGACGCATCATCTTGCCCGTCGTCACCACGACCTCGTCTCCATCACATCGGAGATGCGACCTCGCACCCTGCACCACTGGAAAGGACACAAGTGCTCGTGACGAGTTTATTGGCCCATGGGCCTGGCCTACCATCACCGGAACAGAGGCCTCGCCAAGCCATCCAAGGCTTTCTGCTTCTCATCAGCGAAGCTTCATGAAACAGAGAAGCTCGCTGTCCGGGAATGGGAAATGATGGCTCTGCTCTACTGATGCTCACGAAGGCTCGCTGAGAGCACTAAACCCTTCTGGTGCCGGGCTGGCGACGGCTGGATGTGATGAAAGTCGACTGACCAATAGGATGCTTCCGTTGCGCCAGCCAAATTTCTTTTCTGTGATGGGGCGACCGCCGATCACAAGTTCTTGGATCACTAGCAGTGGGGAACCATCACTTTGAGCCCCTAGCTTCCTCATCACGGCATCACGGATGCCACCCGTTCGTCCAAACCCCTCGATGACGGCGCCGACGACGACAACAACTTTGTGCTGACCTTGGGGGGTATGCGGAGGGCAGATTTGTGCAATGGCCAATGGCACTAGAAAAGGGCAGTACCGGCACGCCACGCCCCCGCGTCCGAGTCTCAGCCCGCGCGAACATCCGCCAAACAATAACCTGTCATCCGAAAGACGACCCCCGAGCAGTTGAGACATTCCGCCGAAGGTCTATCGTTTGACAGACGTTGAAGATGCCGGTGGCCGTTACACAAGAACCGTCTGGGGTTACATTCCTACACCCACCCGCAGAAACATCCCGTGTCTGCGATATGATCCCGTCCTCACAGATAGATTCGACAGACAAGCACATACGTTATGATCGTCAACTTTCAACCTTATCACCAACATTCCTGAACCAAGGTCCCATGTTTCAACCTGAGAGGATCGCCCGCTGACCCCCTATTTCTCCGCATACTGCTCCCTCAATGTGCTATTGCGACGGGCATATTCCTTCACTATCCCCCACAAAGGGTTCAAGCGCTCGACAGCATTATCCCAGACTCAGTCGTCGATCTGACAAGTCCACCTCCTGGTAGTTGTTACAGATATCACTGAGAGGCACGTGAGGCTCCAGCCTGTGGACTGTTTTTGATAGCACATCAGCGCCTATAGTGTAGGGGCAGCTAACCCCGCGTCACTGCAGTGGCCAAGTGCGTCCAACATCCGCCAAAAAAGCAACAAGCGTGAACTATCACGGGCCAAAATGAGAAAGGACCGACAAATCACGGTCGCCACGGTTTGAGAAAAACGAAGGAAACATTATTTCTTCTGTGTGTGTTGGTTGCATGTGCAACACAGCCAACAACCTCAACCTTTAGCGAGTGTCCCATTCGCTTCCTTCCACTTCCCTACAGACTTGGCTGTGCCGTTGCGGCTTCCGCGGGAGATTAACAAATGTGTCCCAAGGAGAACGCCGCATACCTTGCCTTTTGAGCTTTCTGATCATTCCCAAGGTTCCTCATCCTCCTCGGTGTAAGTAATAGGATACGTCCCGGTTCGCCTACGAAAACAAACGAGACCCTTTGCATTTTCCACGGTGCGATGCGTCCTGTCTGAGCTCGGGGTTGGCCTGGCCTGGCGAACCTGGACTGGGCTGGGCTGGGCTGGGCTGGGCTGGGCTGATGGGATGAACTCCGTGCTCCTTCTGAAAGGAAACGGCACGTCAGCAATTTGATTTTCTGAAGGGTGAGGGAAGTGCATTGGCCAATCGTTCTCGAAATTCCCCAGGACCCTTGGGCCCCGTCACGCCTCGCTGGTGCTCTTGACAAGTTGACACAAGACGGTCTTTCTGTCGGTTCCCGAAAAGTCTCGAAACCGCTCGTCTCATGTTGAACCCTATGTTCTGACAGATGAGAAAGATTTCAAAGATGTCATATCTCTCTGTGTGAACAGAACCCCCCAACAACATCACATTATGGATGATCGATCATCAATGACTCCAGTGATCATCCCAAAAAAAATTCCCCATCAACAAACCACAATAAAAACTGCCACGGCGGCGGCGTCAGCGTGCATCACTGTTGTAACTGCAGCGCATCGGTGCATGCGTTAGTACGGCACTGCTAATGCAGGTTGAAGCTTCTATGATGGGACCTCCTGTCGCCTGTGGGCTGTACCTGCAGAGCCGAGTAAAACATCCCAAGGGGATCGTGCAGAAGGGCAATATAAATTTCCCGGGGGATTGCTACCCTACAACGCTCCAGCGGGCATGTCTGGCCGTAGAGGTACGCGACTCGTGGAGCCCCTTTTGAGAGGTCAACGGTTTGGGGAAATTTGAGCGAATAGGTACCTTGGTGGGTAGAGAGAGATGTATGCATACCTACCAACATTAGGACTACACAGAACCGTTGGCAAACCTGAGACGAGAAGTCAGAACTGACAGAGACATTTGAATGGAGACGCAAAGGATGCGATGGATGTCATATCACAGGTTGACTTTGACGCTCCTTCTAAATTCTCACTGAACATTACCAGCTAGTGAACAATGTGGTAAATCAAAAGGGGCCAAGTTTTCCACGAAAACACATGGACAACGACTTTTACTGCAACGGTTTGCTTATCTGACTGATGTGTTTTCGTCTTGATAATATTGACATCATATATCAAAATTGTTTCCTTCTGCTTTGTTTCAGGTATAGTGCTCGACAAATACGTACCAAGGTCCGTTCCATGTCTTCAGATCCTCATTTTCCTAGTTGAAAGATCATCCTTCCCACAATCTGATATCAACAAGTACCTACCGTGTCAAAGCTTGGGCGGTTTATTCCCTTCCGGTCTATTCAAAAACTGAAACTTCCCACGGGATCCGAGACTTCACAAAAGATAAAATATCAAATAATGTGTCTCCTCAAAACTAATTCACTACCTAACTCTGAAGCAGTCGAGAAGACGATTGTGGAATACAAAACCACGTAGAAAAGCAGGGACATGTTTCCCCAGATTTTTTTTCAATATTTGAAACTCGGAAGGATCACGTTGTCTCCCAAACAATTGGACCTTTCTGCTCCAACTACGTAGATCAAAAGTGGCGGTTTGAGGATATGTGATAGCGCGCGGAGAGTCATTGCCTTTTTTTTTCTCCCAGTTGTCAGTTTATAGACTCTGGTTTCTTGCGGCTAAGGAGAATGAATCAAATCCTTTTTTTGTTTTGGGGGAATTATGGTCGAGTGTGTTTGGCGGATGGTGAGTTTTTCAGACGGTTATAGTACACTGAAACTTCCGATTCGTCGTTTGTTGTATTCAGGTGCAATGTATGCTTCTTGACTGAGCACATGTAAAGTGGGTGGAGGTTGGCTTGAGTTATTAAGGGGATGGAAACCAGGTGTAGTTATCTTTATCCGATACTGATGTACACCAGACGGAGATTCAACCTTCGGCAAATAAACAGTTGATCGCATTCTGGTCAGCTACGAACTGAAGGGTCGTATTTATCTCTGGNTACCATGAGGAGAGTAGGCTGCATCTGCGAATATGCCATTGTTATTATTGCAATAAAAGAACGAGTGTCATGTGTATGAATACCGGGAGTTGCAGTGAGACCATGATAGTAAAATATGACGAGTTTGAAAATATGTACTTGCTAGCTTTTATCTAAATCTCTAATCCTTTGTCTAACGGGTTCTCCCATAAATATCATAACATCATTACACATGCAAGTGGTCTACTCCACTTCATCTCCTCAAGACCCAGTCTGCTGCTCTGCATCTGGGCGGATATGAGGTTCGCGGCCAGGAGGTGCAGTACTGACGGTAAGGGGATACTTGTTCAAAGCTTCGAAAAGTAGAATCACCGAAGCGATCTAAAGAATCAGGATATGTTAGGCTTAGGTTCACAACATAAATAACCACGTAATGAAATGTGAGTGTCCTTATCCTCCCCAAGAAGGGGGGTACTAGAAGAACCACCACCATCAATCAGGAAGAGAAAGAAAGGTAATAAAACTCACCAAAAAAGCCCAACTAGACACAAAAGTGGCCATTCCAATCGCATATTCATACTGCGGCCCAGCATTCTCAGCGAACCCCAGCGCACCCGTAACCGTCAACCCGATCGACCCGACCAAACTCCAAAGACCGATATGCCACCCCAGCAGATTCGGCGCGGGAACGTACCACTTATCTTGCACTTCCACCATGGTCAAGATCGCCGAGACAATGAAGAAGACACCTCCCACCACTTGCGGTAGCCAGTAGCTCCCATTCAGTGCGCCGGTGGAGAGGTTATTTTGGGCAAAGGGCAGGCCCGTAAAACCCTCGGTCCAGAAGATGACGGCGCCGATTAGTTGAATCAAGCAGGAGAGGAAACCAATTTCGTGCAGGTAGTGCGACTTGAGCTCGTCGGGGGATGGCCACCACTTCCACGCGCGCGAGGGGTGTTGGCTGTTGTGGTGACCGTTGTTGTCGTGTCCTTTTCCGTCCGAGTCATCCGATTCCGAGCCATGGCCGTCGTCGTCGCCGTCGCTGTGAGCATCGGGGTCATCCTTCTTCTCGTTGTGCAAGTTCTGGTCATCGGGCACGGAGACAGAGACGGGTACCACGACGGCTTTGCGCTGGTCTCGCGCGTTAGATCCCCGGAGGAGCACGTAGCGGACTTGGTGGTGGTGCGTGCAGCGTGTTCCTTCGTGTTCGTGGGAGCGCAGACGGGGACCGTCGGCGTTGCCGGAGAGACTCTCTTCGAGGGCCCAGCCGAAACAGTCGGCGCGGTTCTCGTTGACGGCTTCGAGCAGCATTAGTATCGACGAGATGACGACGAGGGTGGTGGTGATGAGACGGGTGGCGGCGGAGCCGGCCTCTTCGCCTTTGAATTCGGATTTGGGTGCGGCGAGCGGGAGGTAGACGAAGAAGCCGTTGATCATTCTTGCTATGGCGGCTGTTGGGGGAATGTTAGCCAGCTACGCAATCTTGTTGCTTGTGACTTGCTCACCCCCATTTTGGTGTAGAAAAGGGGCAAGTGGTCACCACCAACAAAACAGGACAAAACTTACCAATGAAATATGACAAAGCCACAACATAACTGATATCCCACCACGGAAAGCTCGTAAACATCTTCAACACACCATGCCACGTCATCCTCAAGGTATTTGTCGCCCTAGGCCCTTCGCCCCTCTCCTCCTCTCTCGTATCCTCCTCATCGATGCCCTCCCCCATCTCCTCGTCCTGCAGCCTTCTCTTGTGTCTCCAGCTGCCTTTCTTACCGGTCCCGTAATTCCCACCATCCTTATCCTTTCCCTCCTTTTCATTCCCGTCTTCTTTATCGCTGCTCCCTTTATTATTCCCCCCATTCCTCCTCTTATTGTCATTGTCATTTTTGCCCTGCTGCAATATCCCCGGCTTCGTAACAATCGCCGCGTGTCTTCCTTTCCTGTTATCCCTGCTCCGCCAGACATAGTACACCCCGCTGTCCTTCTGCTCTTGTTCGCGCTGCTTCTGCTGCGTGGTGTTGATGGACGTCTTGCTACCATTGTCGTTACTGTTTCCCATGCCCAACTGGACGACCCGGCCGACCTGGGAAGGCGAGGTGTTGAGGGCGCCTGCAAGCCGCTCGGGCGTGACGGTCGCTGCGTTGGCGGCATTCCGGAGGGAGCTTTGGCCGCTGAGCTGGGAATCGGTGGTCTCGAGGGCTCGGCCGATCTGCTCGGCGGAAAGTGTCGGAACGTCGGCGTCCACAGGGAGCTCGGCGACGGCCTGTTTGGCGTCGTCGGCGGCTTGCTGGCCGAGAACGTTGGCGGCTTCGTTGCCGGTTAGGGATAGTTCGTCGGAGGCGGTTCTCTTCTTCTTTTTCTCCTTCTCTCCTCTCGTTGGATTCTGATCCTGGCTGCCCACAGAGGGCGCGATGATGTGGTAGCGAGCGGTTGGGTTGAAGAAGGAGAAGGCGCCTCCGGAGTGCGCGGCGTTGGGATGCTTGGAGCCGGTGTTGTTGTTGGAGTCCTTCCTCTTGGGAGGGTGTGTTGTGTTACCCATGAAGCTGACCTAACTGTTGTTGTTCTGGTTGTTTCCCCTGTTCCGGTGGGAGTGTAAGTCCGGATGTGATCCCTCTCGTTCGTGATGGTGATCGTAGCTTATAGGATCTTGGCGCAAGGTCAAGCTTTCTCTTCAGGTGAGAGTGTATGGTTTGAAAAAAGTCAAGATCACCATTCTTCTTGTCTGCCTATCCTTTCTGCCGGGACACTACTATACAAAATACAAGTACGTTTGAAGATCAGAGATATTCCGAAATCCCAGGAACCGTACCTACTCGTCCGAACCGGTCTCGCCTTCGACCTTCTTCTCCACGTCTTGCCTGGAATCCTGCTTCATAGGTTGGTATTAAGAGAATTCTGTCAGTAGTGTACATCCTCGAAAGGATATGTCACTGACGTTAACGCCAAGAGATATTGAAGATTCAGCCTTGTCCAACCACTCACATCCGCAAAAGTCGTTTACATCAGAAGTTGGCTGAAACTCGACGATCGGTCCACTGATTCCCACTGTTTGGTGGGGCCGACTCAGCCCAGTCGAACCAGTATTCCATCATTCACATGGCGACCGGTTTCTTCGGTGGAGTTGTAAATCGGATGTAAATGCTGACATGGAAGGTGTTCTAGAAGGCGAAGGTTCAAGTCAAAAGCTGATAAAGAAAGCCGCGCGTGCAAGTGGTGCAGATGTTGACAGATGCATTACTGGTAAAGGCAACGTCGCTGAAATTTGGCGATATATTTTCGTCCAGAACTTCGCCGTCTTTGCCATCTGGGTATTGCTCGCTCCAGCAAGCAAGTATTCCTCGGGGATTCTTCGTGGTTGTCTGAAGGCGGATTGTCAAAAGAGTGGTGTAGGTGAAGATCAAGATGTGGCGCGAGGGCATTTCAGCCCGCTGTCAAAAAATGATAAGCCCGTAGGAGCAAAAACTCCGGGGACGCCGGTCCCGAAACCGCCGGTGTTCCTTTGAACTCATTGTCATTGACGTTTCTCTCGTCCAAACCTAACTCGAGGGGAGGGAACGTGGTCATGGACGAACTCATCTGGTAGGTACGCCATCTGCCATCTCAATGGCATCCATCCGAACCGTGCCTGCCGTCTTTCGCCGTCATGCTGGGATTATCCCATTGCAGCCGCCCAAACCGCTTCGGCCCCATTGAATGCGGGGACCGGCCGGGTGACGTTATTCGGGCCCGAATTGAACGCTACCTTACCCTATTCTGCTCCATCACTTCTGCTAACAAACAACCATCTTGCGCCAACAAACACTTTAACTCCCGCTGCAAAGTCGATAACATCCATGAAATGGATTTTGCAATTGGATATAGATCTTCAGGCCTGTTATGTGCGATAAGCTGACTCGAACATTTCACGGAAACTCTTCGAGAATTCACAGCCAACGACATCTGATGACGTAATTGGAGATGGGGACACTCGGAAGGAGTTGGAAAATGAGTATTTGGAGAGGTTACAATCGCACCATTCTCTCTCTCTAAATGTGCAGATGCGGGGAAACATAGTGTAAGCGATGTCGTAGTCTGGTAGTGTATAACACCTGCCTCGGACCCTTGATATCTTTCTCCGGAGCCCCCCTCTTGGACTACCAAACAAACAAACAAACAAACAAACAGCAGAAACTATTTTTTTGTCTGCTATCTCTCCTCCCTTACCTATAACCCGAGACTCGGATCTTGCACCTTGCCATTGTGATCATCGTACTCCAACTTACCGCTACACGCCACTTACCTACCTCGACTTGCCCTTTTCTCCCTGCATCGTACCCCTATACCCAAACCATGCCCGCTACTCATCAAGCCCCTCCCTGGGCAACAGAGATCAAAGCACTTACCTTTGATGTCTTTGGCACCTGCGTAGCCTGGCGGGAGAAGATAGCCTCCGCCTTGGCTTCGGCTACCGAGTCCAAGCTGTCTTCCGCCTCCGCCTCCAACTCCACGTCATCGGACACGCCACCATCCGAACAAGTCCTCTCCCGCGCCCGCTCGCTCACCCAAGAGGACTGGGCCCGTTTCGCCCAGGAATGGCGCAAGGCCTTAGGAGCCTCCACCCGCTCCTTCGTTCCCGACGAGACCCCCTGGAGGGATATCGACACCTTCCACCACGACAGCCTCGTCGATCTCCTAGCCAAGTGGCAGCTGGACGGCCTCTTCACCCCTTCCGAGGTCGAGAAGCTCAGCCTTACGTGGCACGATCTCCCACCCTGGCCAGAAACCATCCGGGGTCTGCAACTGCTCGGCTCCCGGTACCACATGGCCGCCTTGTCCAATGGCAACCAGGCGATCCTCAAAGATCTGAACAGCCAGAAGGGCGTCGACGGCAGCTCCCCGCTGGGGTTCCAGCGCTTGCTCTCGTGCGATATGTACCAGGCGTACAAGCCGAACCCAAAGGTGTACCAGGGTGCGCTGCGGGACCTGGGTCTGCAGCCTGGAGAGGTGGCGATGGTGGCGGCGCATTTGGGAGATTTGGAGGCTGCTAAGAAGGAGGGGTTGCGGGCCATCTATGTTGCGCGGCCCGGCGAACTGCTATTTGACGCCCATGAGGACAAGATCAAGAAGGCCAGAGAGTGGGTGGATCTCTGGGTTGAGGAAGGTGAAGGAGGCATGGTGGAGGCGGCAAGAAGGTTGGGCATCAACGTCGACGATGTTAGCGATGCGGCCGGAGTCCTAGGCTGAGTGAGCGAGCCTCTGAGCCTGACGTCCTGGCCCAGACCATGTCGTCGGCAATCTGCGCTCTCAGTCTTCGAGAAGGAAAGGGCGCTTCCGCTTTCCGTCCCTCGGGACTCGGGCCCCAAATCGGGATGCTACCCTCTCGGCGATGGTTGGTAAATTCAGGGGCGGCCGCTCGGGTCAGAGTTTTCATGACATCTCGGGTAGACTGTTTAGGATGCGTGTGATATCCCTTTCCCCCCTGCCGTTTAATTACCCAAGGGAACGGAACCCGGTGGGAGACCGTGAGAGGAAGTGAGGCGGACAGAACTCGGAGCCAGGGCGGAGGAGGGAAGAAGGGACGAAAAGTTCGGTTGACTCGTTGATTCAGAAATCGGCTATGCTGAAGATGGTTGTTTCGCGAGGGGCTTTGACCATGTCCTTGTTCCTTCGAGAAAAGAAATTGAAATTGCGATGGATGCCACGAGCCTGCTAGCGAACCCGCCGATACGGACCCTAATTCGGCGTACTCGGCGCGGCAGTGATGAGCATGGAGCAGCAGTAATATTGATTTTCTCGGACCGGTCCCCGGAGCCCTCCCCCCTGCCGGCCCCCCTGGCCGGAGCCTAATGCCAGACCGCCAGGTCCCAAACCAGGGGATCAGATAGGGAATCATAACCTCAAAGGGGGCCAGCTACCCAGCCAATGTCCAATCGCGGAACTACGCTTATGAAGCCGGCCATGTCAAGAGGGGAACTTCCACGCGTTGCTGAGGTTCGGCATCCCTGACCATAACCTGACCGCAAATGGGTGACCGATTTTCCAATCTTCCTTCCTCTCGTCCACAGACTCGTCCCAACAGTTCGAGTACCCTCCAAGGGCGGCAATTGTCATTGGACCCAGTATTTGAATCGAAGTTTGAGGAAATGAGTGGGCTCGACAGGAGATACTGTGGGACAATGTGAGTCTTTTTTTTTTTACTTGTGTGTTTTGCCTGTGAGCGATTTGATCACTTGATCAAAAACTGTGGCGGTTGTCTCGACAACCACGGGATTTGTTTGAAATGGGGCGCCCCTTGAATTCGATATTCATCGGTCAAAGAGGCGAACGAACTGTCCTTTTGGGCTTGGTCTTCGTCATGTTCGTTATACCAACTGTCCCATCTATGCCTATTAACACGTAGGAGGCGTCGCGGCGTCTTGGCATTCAGGTATTCGGGGGCCACTGACGAGGAAAGAAACGAAGTGACTAGTTTGTAAGTCTCGTTCACAGCGCTGGCTGTCGGCGTCCTATATCACCAAACGGGACCTGAATTGCCTGATGGGTCCGAATCGTCAGCCGGGGCACCCGGTGTAGACAATGAGGAACTTGGTTGAAAGAACCTGGGTATCGGCGACCCGACCGGCGTGGTTGTTTTGCTTTGTGCCAGTGATGAAGGCTTAAAGACCGCTAATAAGGGCGTTTGGTCCCTCTGAAATCGGGCTCTGAAATGGTTCTCTGAAATTAGAGAGTACAAAGCGGTTAGGACTACCCTACCGTGGGCTTTGGACTTGGTGCTCCTTGGCGTTGGATCCCAAAGCGCATTGGCCACTTTTTTCTGAGCTCGTTCTACACCAAAATTTGGGAGCTTTTTTTCAGCAGCCCTTTTGACTGAACCATTTCAGGACGCCAAGATTTATTTAAACCAACCACAATGTGTGCATTCAAAAAAGCGGGACTTCGATTTCAGAGCCAATATTGTACGCCCGTGCACGCTCTGGAGTTTGATAAAGGTACTTTCAAGAGTGACTTCAAACTAGAAGTACCGCTCACGGGCCACAATTTCAGAGAACCATTTCAGAGCCCGATTTCAGAGGGACCAAACACGTCCTAAAGTGGGAACAGCCAGCAAAAGAGGTGTAGCCGTATGGGCCGGAGGTTGGTTATCGTGGAGTGGGGGCGTGGCACGGGTAGCGAAACTAGGGGAGGCGTGAGAGGGGATGAAATCGGGTGTCTTCCTGTCTTTCTTCGGGCTTGTCGTCCACGCGGCATGGCGGCCATGAGATTGACTTGCTCGCCTAGAGAAATCCCAAGAATGGCCACCAGCCCATGCCCATCTGGGAGGCTCCATAGGTTCGTCCTATCTCCGTCCGGGAAGAGCACCCAGAATTGTGAAAATGGGTTTGTCTGATGGATATCATGTCCACCTTATTGCGTGGCCTGCCAGGTACTGGATCTTGATATGACAATGCCAAGCTGTCAACAATCGCTCCAGTCAGTGATTATGGTACAGTACGGTAGTGTGCTCCGATTGATGAAGATCAAATGCACATCAATTGCGCTTTTGCAACGGTTCGGCGAGGGGAAACAGTATGTAATGAGGAGTCGCTGAGGCTGGATATGTTTTTTTCAAAATGGCGGGGTCCATCATGCAAAACAACAAAAAAGGCAGTGGAGGTTCCTGAATCGCTAAAGCTCGATCGGGTACCTTGCGGGGCTTGTTGCCATGAGCATCTCCATCACGATGCCAGTAACAACGGAAGGACCTCCGGTTGTTGGACTTTCCAGTCCTGCACCTCAGCATGTGGCGTAAATTCCATTTGCTTCGTCAGTCACTGCTGCAGACCATTAGCGCAATTGGGAAGGAACTTCTCGCCGGCCTGAAAAATGTGCCCGCTGGAGGCATTCCATCCATCGAGGGAAGGGACGAGTGTACCCAAGTAGGGAGGGGAGGGAGAAGTGGAAGTGGTCAAGGTACAAGCCGAGATACCTAACCGATACCGATAGGCGATAAGCAACACCACACCTTCCCTTCCTGTTCCCTTCCCGCCTCCCGGTAGGTCGTCGAGGACGAGGAAGGTGCTGACCCGTAACCTCATGCATGTAGCCGGTCTGGGGGTATATCCGATGATTTGGACACTTGGCCGGGGCGGCTGCGGCCACCATGCAACAAAGTCCACCTCTCACGCGTTTTCGGGGTCCTCTCGCTTCAACTTCCCTCCAGTTGCCCCTCCTTTTTTTCGTTGATGGAGGTGGAGGGAGGGGCAGGGCAATGGGGTCCAAATAAAAGGCGTTGAAGCAAGCAGAATCGAAGACCGGGATTCGTGTCAAAGGTCGGTCGGTATACGAAAACGACAGCGGTCCCGAATAATCCCAAGAATTACTGAATGAACAGCAAAAGAAAACAGACCTGGAAAGCCGATTGCAGCGATTGCTAGCCCGGGCCGGGGTCCAAAAAGAAAGCTTGGGAATGATGCGAGACGGATTCCGTGTCGTGGTCAACCCCCTCCTTCTCTGAAGCTTCAATACCGTTGGCTCCCGTCTTTTCACAGCAGTCTGTTATTTTGGGGTCCTGACCGGCACCCGCTCCGGGGGCGGTTTGAGTATTTGGGTACCGAGCGTCACGCCTTTCAGCCTCGCCCACTGGCAGTTGTCTTGCATCCCCCCGCCGTTGCCCGCTATTTGCCTTTCAGACAAAAGTGCCAGTGCAATTGAGCGGGTATCAACTGATCTTGGTGGTGGGATGAGGCGCTTCCCCGGACCAAGAAAGCCAAAGTGACACATGATGACCCCGTCCCGCCCTACCGCAATTCTTTGCCACTCGGGCCCGGATATCGGTCTCGTCAGCCGTACTGGTATCGTGGTCGTATTGTGGTTCCGCGTCGTGGTTGGCACGCAGTGTACATACAGCGTCGCAAACCAAGGCGCCAAGCCAAAACCAACAGCAACGGGGAACGGGGTCATTTACGGATCCAACGTGACGGATTTTGCCGCAGTGCGTGCGTAATCAACGAGGGAATCCGTCGTATGATCAGAGTCAAGGCCTGGCCTTCGGGAGGAGACCGGCTTGGGATGTCAAGACGCAGCAGGCCCCGTCTTGAACTTCCTGTTATGTCAAAGACTTTGAGGTCAACAGCGATCACGATGGATGGCAGTTGAATCCGAGGAAGGACGGAGGCAAAGACGAGCAGAGTAGCTGCAGAGCAAAAAGAGGAGGTCAAGGAGGGAAGAGCCGTGCGTGCGTCCCAAGGTTGTGCCTGTGTCTCCGTGTGTCCGTGTCCCTGCTCCGTACCATGTCGACTGGGCGTTGAAAAGAAAAGATGTCCAAAGAGATATGCCTGTGTCGCCGCCAACGGACCAGATCCCGTGGTTCGGGCCACAGAAAGGTTGTCCAAAGGTTGAGCAGCTGTATGGCCCCAGATTCGCCCAGGCCCAGGCAATAGACGGGAAGCTGCTTACACTGCGTGTACTGTCACCACTGCGAACCCAGATTGGCTGCGCTTGCTCAATGTGGGATGAGTTGAGGTTGGCGAGTGCGAATGGCCGGAGGAGCGAATGGAGCGGGCCAAGGCGCCATGGGAACGGTGCTCCATGTCCCGCAAGCGCCGTTCTCGCAGAGTGGACAGCTCTGAGAGCCAACGAGCCAGCCTTTGCCGCATTCTCAATGGATAGCCGACTCGCTCTATCAACCTTACCTGCGTTACCAATGCAGCTGTCCTACATGAGCACGCTTTTTTGTCTACTGTTAGTCCATTATCCTGGTGTTAAGGACAGATGACGGGAGTCTTGACCAAAATGGGAGTAATTAACCCCTAATCAAGAGAGCTGTCAAGCCAAAAGAGCTCGAGACGGACGGATTGTAAAATGATTAAACAGGAGGTGTGGGACCGAGGACACCCTACACAGTAAAAGTTCACGGGCTGCCAGTGGACAGGTCGCTTGGGTCACGGTTGCAGCGAGCCATGCATGTGAGGTGTGTAGTGTACATATCCAAAAGTTGTGTGTGTGGTGTTTGTACACTATAAAAGTGACTTTCAAGCACGGCAACAGGAGTGAGTGTCATTGAGGAAGCTCCGAGGGTCAAGATCATGTCCAAGTTTTCTTGGGAAGAGGACTACAACTTTCCTTTTGCCCAGGCCAATCACGGGGACAGATGCCGGTCTGGGAGATAAAGATAGGTCAAAAAGTGTTTGCCTGGCACGAATTCTCAGGATCATTCCACCGGCGTCATGAAATGACGGTAGACGGTACGGTAGTCAAAGTTGACGTCGGGGACGAGGTCATGCTCAACTTGAACACCAAGAGATCAAAAGCAAGAAGACGGGACTGTTTGAAAAGGATCATGATCCGTTAAGCGTGCCCGTATCTGTCAAATGGAGTTATCCTTGTAGGCATGCTAAAAGTCACGTTTTGGCCAAGGACGCCTCGGCTTCGCGGTGTCTTTCTCGCCCATTATTCGGGCAGGCATTCCATAGAGCCCAGGCAAGTACTACGTACTGTGGTTTGGAGCAAAAGTAAAAACCCCCCTGCCAGATATCTTTTCGCACGAACGCCTATGGATTTATACCTGCCCACTTAATTTAACTTACCCATCATACCAAGTACAACACTGCCATTGTAATAGCCCCAAGAGCCGAATTCTCGGCGACTCTGCCCTGGACAACTCGACATCTCCCATCCCGATCTGATCCTCTTTCCACCGGCTCTGCCTCCGAGTTTGTTTCGACAACCATCGAATAAGCGAAACTCTTAACATTACCTCTTTTTATTATTACCTTACCCCCGTCGGTCGAGGATCCATTTGCTGGAAAATCCCAAAGCTTATTAGAGGGGGATCCGTAGGGGCCGCTGGGACCACAATGCAGAGGGAGGGGAGGGGAGGTACCTGAGGTAGGTACCTGCCGGGGCCAGGTACTGGACGTCCATGCTGACAGACTCGTAGAGGTACCTTGGGAACCTAGAAGGCCAGAGCCGCCCACCTGCTGAGCGGTCTCCACAATAAACACATTCTCCACGGGCGCATCCAACGCTTACCCGCTAGTCGAGCGTTCCCATTGGATCCGCCTGGTGGACACCCGTACTCCCAACCACACTACACTACCTAACCTACATAGCACTGCCAACCACTTAGCCCCCCCCCCCCCCGGCTGCTCTTCTTCTTATCATTCTTCTCCCTCACATCATTCTTTCCCCCCCAAATCCATAACCTCAACACCTCAACCATCCAGGACGACCATCACGACGACGACGTGACGACCACGGTTCAAATCCCCGCCGCCCTCTCCAGTCGCTGAACGCCCGTTCCAATTGCCACTCCTCCGTGGCTGCGCCTGTTAGAGCTTCTCTGCAAACACGCAACTACACTGCCTCTGCTCCTCGTTGCTACAACTACAGCCAATACAACTACGCCTTCCCACATCCCACCACATTTCGGCTCGAGGCGAAGCCCCAGCTCTCATCGCTTTTCTCCCTTCATCCATATACGTCTTCCGCCCCTCATCCAAGCTTTCCTTGGTGCTGCTCCAGCTTCCTCGACACTTGGACATCCGCGAAAGAACGACAGCAAGACTCCATCATGGTGGGGGCCAAACAGGTGTTATACAAGTTGGTGGTGCTCGGTGACGGAGGCGTGGGGAAGACTGCCTTGACCATCCAGCTCTGCTTGGAGCACTTCGTTGAAACTGTGAGTCTGCTTTTACTCATAACCATCTCTTGTCCGCTGATCATCTGCCTACGCCATCGCATATCCCTGCATTGCCCACGTCCCTCCCTAACTGGCTGGCTGGCCAACAAGCCGGCCACCTGAATTCCCAGCTCACTGCTAACATTGATGATTCAGTATGATCCCACTATCGAGGACTCCTACAGGAAACAGGTCGTCATTGACGGCCAAGCATGCATGCTAGAGGTTCTGGACACAGCAGGACAAGAAGAGTACACGGCACTACGAGACCAGTGGATCCGAGATGGCGAGGGCTTCGTGCTAGTATACAGCATCTCATCGCGCTCATCCTTCTCGCGTATCAAGAAGTTTCACCACCAGATTCAAAGAGTCAAGGAGTCGACATCGTCACCGTCAGCGTACCCAGGATCATCACCTCTCGCCGCTACCAACCCGTCCGCGCCTGTGCCGATCATGCTAGTGGGCAACAAGAGCGACCGCGTCACGGAGCGCGAAGTCTCTACACAAGAAGGACACGCTTTGGCACGAGAGCTTGGCTGCGAGTTCACCGAGGCGTCGGCAAAGACACGCACAAATGTTGAAAAGGCTTTCTACGACGTCGTCAAGCAGCTGCGAAAACAGCGACAGCAAGGACAAGCAGCACCGCGCATGCTGCCACCATCAGGGAACAGCAAGAGCGAAAAGTATAGCGGGACAGAAAAGCCCAAGCGTCCCCGTGGAAAGTGTTTGATTCTATGAGCGGTTTCGCAATGGGTGTTGGGTCTTTTGGCAGATGCTGTCGCACGTCCTGCCTTGCTTCTCTTTCCGGGGCCCCGGGGGGCCGGCCGCGGCCCACACAGAGCCAGACCCCGTTTTCCCTCCCCCAGTTCTTGGCGCAAAATGCGTTCGGTCGATGCGCGAATATCCCCGACCCGGGACCCCGGATTTGTCCCAACACGTACGGCCGGCACATCGCATACTTGCAATCATTCCGGCTCGTATCCGAAACGACTACCAATTACTGGGAGAGAAAAAAATGGCGATTTCTTGCGCATATACCACAACCAGCCACACACATTCGCATACGCTCATACATTTCACACTTTCTCATCACACATGACACCAACGACGTTACCGAATTCTCCAAATGGTGAATGGCGCACGATTTAAAAGAGGGCATCCGATTTGGCGGGAGGTGGGAAATGGGGGAAAGGGCGTAAATATCATATTCATTTCTGTTTCTTTCTCATTTAATTTCTCGACCTGGTAGTTGGAGAAAGTGTGTTTTTTGGGTTTACCCTTTCCCTCCTTTGTTTTCACACAAGCTTTTACTTTTCTATTTCTTTTGTTCGGGTTTTTACAAGGCCACCGATTCTCGTGGAGGGGTGGTTTCTTTGGAGTTTGGGGGGCAACAACACAGAAGGAACTGCATATCCCCATCCTAAACGGAAAGTTGGCGACTAGATATACCGGTCTTGGGCTTTTGGGAGGGGGGAAGTGATATCATCCAAATTCTGGCTGGCCCTGGGCCGCGCCGTTCTCGGCGAGAAGACGGCGGCAAGGGCACCAAAGGAGAGAGGGACAAGTTGGGAAGCACTATGTGCAAGGACGCAGCGGGAATTTCGGTATGGTCATCTGGATGCGCCAACGGGTGTAGATGGCAAACAGGCTACTAAAAGGGTTGCCCTGATGGAGACAGCAAGGCGTGTATTTTGGACATCATGGAACGATTCCATTACCTAGCTTGATACCTTTTAGCTCAGTATTGCAGATGCTGTGAACATCAGCTAACGTCAGCTTTGTCCCAAGTGCCCAAAGAGACGCTGTCTGAACTCAAGAGTTGATTCCAAAGTGATCTTTCGAATGTAGTGTTTGTTCTTGATCTCGGTTTATGATTGGGTCGTTGACACACCGTTGGTGATATCATCAACTTGGATCTGCCCGTGCTGGTCATGTATGGCGATAGTAGAGCTACACCAAAGACCACTACAGCTGAAAGTTGCGGGGTGGTGGGACAGCCAACGAGCCATAAGACGAGTATCTCGGACACACAGACCTTCCACGAGTACGCTGTGCGATTGGTATCTCAATCGTGTTCATCTCTGAACTACCTGGTAAACTCGAACTCTGCCTGTTTGTGTATGTATGCATGTACCTACCTCTAGTATGTAAAGCCCCGCGCGGCGCGGTTTACGCGGGTTACGGGCGGGTATGTACTTGCCAAATAAGCGACACAAAGGTCCGTCATCATGACTACCTTGGTATCTTCACAGCAAGAGAAAAAAAAAAGAGTTCTGACTAAACTAACTCTCCCCTTACTCTCATCCACACTTTGTTACCCCCATTGTTATGTACAGCAGAATAGTGAAGCTCGTTTTCATAGTCTTAAGATTTTGTGTGGATCTTTGCGCAACGAAACAGGGCGAACTCGTAAGCACTAAGACTACCTAACTGACCTAACTTTCAGGCAGACCCCTTAGGCAGACTATCTCTCTCTCGCGCTCCCGTCGTTGATGTCTTGGACCGAGATACCTATGTATGTACATTCAATAGCAAAAGTACATGCATACTTACCGTACATACACAAATAGCCAAGGCGGCTTGATCTTCCAAAATGCCGATCTGTGATGCCAAGTGCTTGCATGACTACCGCTTCCTGAAATGGTAACTTGTTGCTGTTGCTGCTGCTGCTGTTGCTGCTGCAGGACAATATACTTACAGACAGGCAAGCAGGCAGGCAGGTAGGCAGGTAGGCAGGCATGACGGCGGCGACGGCGGTATCGGGACGATGCGGGACAGTTTCTAGGACACCCACTGCAACCTTTTGTTTCTCCTCCATCCAAAAGTGAATGAGCAACTAGGTGTGTTTTTGGCTTGCCCTCATCATCTATACATACAATACATACTCAATAACCTCTGCCGATATACGTCTACCACCGCACCGCACCGCACTGCAGCACCAGACTACCAAAAGATACGAATGTACGAAATTGCGCTTTCACGGCGCGAACGGACTGCCAGACCAAGACCAAGACAAAGACCAAGGGAAGGAAGAACGAAAGAAAGCGAAAACGAACCCAAAGAAGGGGAAGTGATTCATGTGATAGACTACACAAGACAAGATCAACGATTCAGGAATGGCGAGACGGATCGTTGGATGGGTGAGACCGGAGCGAAGAGCGGGAGTGACCGCGGTTCCCGTCCGCCGCCGCCCCGGCCATTATGGAGCCCCATACATAATGGACCATGGTCAGCATGGTCGAAGCATGGTGAGGCACGCTTTTGGTGATGAGCATAATGAGCAATGATGGACATGGCTCAAAGCGCAAATGCCATGGTCCATGGATAAAATGCCCCCGGATGCCGTCCGTTTGGATCATTTGTGGAGGTTGTCTGGGGGGGTGTGTGTGTGGGTGTGTGTGGAGGGGTGAATTGGTTATATGAGGAATTTTCTTTTAACGCTTGTTGGTGATAGTGGGTTGGTTGGTTGGTTGGTTGGTTGGTTGGCTGGTTGAAGGCAGAAAGATTGTCAGCGTCGTCAGCACGCTAAGCTAGGTATGCTCGGTATGCTACAGAGGGGCGCTACTGTACGCATCACAGACATAACACACCCAACCCGGCTCTTTTGGAGGGCGTGGATGCGATTGGATTTCCACACAAGGGCCAAAACGACGTTCAATCCAACAGAGATGAAGATGACAGGCCAATGGGTACACATCCGGCTCGTCGCTTTCGCATTGGTGTAACTGTAATATCGAGGATTGAACCTCAAAGCCGAAGAAGATGTGACATAACCGGGCCGTTTAGAGCTTTTGGCATTTTTTTTTTGTATTTTTTTTTGATGCAACTAGGACGATACATATCACAATATCTTCGCTAACGACCACCCTTGTTAGGTACGTGTGATAGGGCAACCATCCGTCAACATCCGATTCATATGCCATGTCCTAATAACACTTCTACCTACATATTCCCGCCGCGCCATCGTTCCGAACAGCTTTGAAGTGGGAACCAAACGTTCCGCTTGAAAGGGTAGCATCGCGAGATTTATCTGTCTGTACCTGTACCTGTTGCCAGCAGGCATTTTCAAAAAGACATGGCTCTGTCTCGGTACGGTAGCATGGCGACAGGGCATCAAAAGAGGAAAGTGGAAAGAACGAACAAGAAGAAAACAAAACCTTTTCGAGGCGGATTACGAAACTAACGTGGTTGACAGCTAACGTGTGCCCGGGGATCGCATTCCTTCCTTTCTCGGAAAACAAGACCGAAGCGGCGAACGCTCCCCGAAATTTGCTGACCTTTCTCATCACACACGAACGCAGTGGACGCACATGTGGGATGTGGGATGGGATGGGATGCTGGACGTGATGAGTTGAGGCACCTCTTTACTGCTGATGCTCTCACCCAACAAGCACCCCCGTTCTAGTTTGTTCAGGGCCCCGGAGATGGAGGGACCCATCTTTTCAACCCCTTCCCATGCCATCATCTCACCATCACCACGTTCCACGTCGGGCACATACAACAGTCGCTTGTATCATTTTTGTATCAGGAAAAAGCGGTCCGAAGCGATCCGCTTTGGCGGTTTGAAGAAAAATCTTCGCCCTCTGGGCAACTTCTGAAGAGAGCTATCTCGCTTGCCCTGTCCATGTCCCCATTCTCGTCACTCTCGATGAGTCCCGGCCACCACCCTCACATGTCTGTGCGCCTGCACTCGCCGGTGAAGCCAGGGCTTGCTCAATCGCCCAAGAGAAAAAAAGAGCTGGCGGGTTAGCGGGCTGCCGGGGAGCCTATTTTCTCTCTCAAGTCCCAACGGTTTCGGTTCCCTGGGTCGAATCCGCCGGCTAAAAAGCACGAGGGACAACTCTGGCAAAAGGGAGCTACACACCCGATCGGATGGCTTTGTGGTTGGTAATTCGAGCGTTCGACCAACAGCAGAAATTCCCTGCTGTGCCTGAGACGGGTTAGAGGGCCTATCTTCCTTCTTGTTCTTTTCTTGGCTCTTTGGCTAGGCCATCCTCCAACCTAGGTCCGAATCTCGATTTATGCGCTTTTCTTGCAAGCCACAGCTGACCAGTCGGTATATCGTCGGCAGTCCAATTTACTTCGCTCACTCTCATTCCTCCTTCTGTCTCTCATGAAACTTGGTTCCAACGTCATCACCGAAAGCACGCCGAAGGACTTCATACACACCCCGTTATATTTAGGGTTAGGTTGGGCTGGCTGAGTAGGGGGACACATCCACAACCTACCCACCTCCTTTCCGCTAGCTCGTGAGGAACATGAGTGCGGAATGAGGCCCGCTCCGTCTCATTCACTGCTTCTCATTAGTGCCCGGAGCAAGCCCCGATGGAGATGAAATGAGATGGGATGTGAAGGGTGGAAGAAAAAGACGAGGGTTTTGCGAAAGAGGAAAAGGAAAGAAAATCACGCTAGGGTACAATCTCTAGCCGGCACCATTTCAACGACCCGGCCCAGCAGTGGTGAAGACAAGACAGCTCGCTATACCCAACACTACCGAAAAAGCCAAGCCAAAAGCCAAGCCGACTTACTGAGCGGGTAAAGCCGCCAAAAAGATGACACAGGCAGGGGGGGTTTCTGCAGACCTCGCAGGATCTGATAAGACCAAACTCAGAATATCCACAACGTCGTGACAGACGAGACCCATACCGAGCACGAAATTCGCGGTGCATAACCTCAAAAGTCTCGTCATCAGCACGAGACAAAAAGGATTTTCATCGACAAGGGGGGCATTATCTTAG